AATATTCTTATGTATTTAAATTGTATATTTTAGACAATTATTAAAATATGATTATTAAAATATAAATAATCTAAAATGAAAGATTTATATAAATAAAATTTAAATATAATAGAGATGTAAAATATATTAATAATTAAGTAAATAAATAACAAAAAAAAAAAAAAAAAAAAATTATGATACTGCTTTGGTATTATTACAAAAAAGATAATTTACATATTATACTTATTTGAAAAAATCAAATTCCCAGAAATTTTGTGGTGAATCATTAACCTTACTATGATATCTATGGCGTGAAAAAGATTGAACCATTTTCTTTTTTTCTTTTTCTTTTCTATTACTTTCTTTTTTTATTCTTTCTTTTATTAAATTATAATTTTTATTTCTTCCATTTGAATAATTATCATTGTATTTATAACTATCAAAACTATCATTAGAAGTATAATTATAATATGTCTCATCGTTTTTATGGGGAATATTATTATTATATTTTTTATTTAGTGTATCATTGTTTTTATTAATTTTTTTTTCATTATTATTCATAGAATGATTATAAATTTCTTCCTCAAGTTCTCTTTTTTTATTACTGTTTTTGATTGAAATTTCTTTAAGAGTATCATTATGAACTTCTATTTTCATTTTTTTTTCTCCATTTAGTAGAAATTCATCTTTTCTTCTATCTTTTTTTAGTATTTCAGATTTAGGATTTTCTAAGTATAATTCATTATAAAATAGTTTGCAGTCTTCGCATTCAAATCCCTTTAAATTCTTCCTCCTTTTTCCTCTGATAACTTCAAAAAATAAATGTTCGCATTTTTTTGATTCATTTATTTTTTTATTTTGCATTCCATTTTTACTACAAAATAATTCATGTTCATTACAATTGTTCAAATCTTTCTTTTCTTTTAATTCATCATCTAAATAATTTTTCATGTTATAATTTTCTAATTTATTTGAGGATAATTTTGAGTTACTGTCTTCAGCTTTTTCTTCACATATTTTATCTAATTCTTCATATTTTTCATTCAAATTTATTTTATTATTTCTGTTCCCTAAAAAAGATTTTGAATTAAAAATTGTTTTTAACTTCTCAATTTGTTCATCCTTATAGTTATTTTCCATTTTTACTTCATTATTTTTTATTATTTTATCAGGAGATGTTTTATGGTAATTTAAGTTTATTCTATCATTATGATAATGAAAATAATTTTCATTTTCATCAAAAAACCTTTCCGAATTCATATTTTTAACATTATATTCATTTTTTATATTAGAATAATTTTTTTTATTTTTTTTATTATTTTGGCTAAATGTATTTAAATTTTCAATATTGTTTAATTTATTTGAATTTATAGGTTGAATTATGCTTTCATTAAGATTAATATTCTTATGTTTATGCTTATAATCAGAAGTAGATGATGAATAATTAATGTTTTCCATACTTTCTTCTGATTTATTATTTATTTCCTTATCTAATTTACTATTTAATTCATTTTTTGTTTTAAAAGATCCTTTCTTTTTTATTTCCTTTTCTTGAGTACTAACATTTGAACTCTCACTTTCCAATGAATTTAGGAATTCTACCCTTCCGTTTAGGTCATTTTCATAATTTATTTTTCTATATATTTTGTTAATGTCCTCTTCATTTTTTTCTTTCTGCAATTTTTCCAGTAATTTTTTTTTATTATCATCTGTAAAACTTTTTAAATATACATCTAAAATACTTTCATTATATAATTTACATTCTTTTTTATTCTTCTCATGTTCTTGAATAATGTTAATTTTATTCCTATTTTCATTGACTTTCATTATGAAAGCATCATTTTTTATTTTATCAATTAATGGAAATATTTTTTCTATGAATTTTTTTTTAAAATCATATATTAATTCATCAAATATATCGCCTAAAATCATTTCCATATTAATTATTTTCCCTTTATTCAATGAAATTTCTTCATTTTTAGTTATATTCATTCTGTCAAAAGTTGTGCAATATGTGAAAAAAAAAAAAACAAAAATTTTGATTCTACGGTAAGATTAATCCTCTTAATTTCACTATTGAAAAAAGTATTTATATTTGAGAATATTTCATAATATATTTTTTATTATTATTTTATTTTTTTCTTTGTTAACTTGAAAGGAGAAATATGAACAATTTTTTTTATTTTAAATAAAATGCTCATAATTAAAAGTTAAATGAAAAAAAAAAAAAAAAATTTATATAAAAAAAATAAAAAAATAAAAAAGCAAAAATTTAGAATCTGAAAAAAAAAAAAAAACCAAAAATCTAAAAAATAAGAGGACAAAAATGGAAATAAGAAAAAAAAAATTAAAAAAAGAATATTAAAAAAATACTAAAATTGAAGAGTAAACTAAAAAATTAGTTAAAAACAAGCTTTTTAGTGATATATTAAATATAATAATGAAAAATATAACAAACGAAATTTACACATTTATAAATTATTATTTTTAACAAATAAACTTATTAAATACATATATACATCATGCTAAATTTGTTCTAATAGACTTTTTTATTTTCATTTTTTTTTTTTTTTTTATCCCAATTACATCTTTCACTATAATTATTTAAAATAAATGTGTTCCTATATATTAAATATAAATTTCATGTTTTATATGAATAAGATATATTTAGGAAATTTCAAGAATTTTACTTTTTGAGTATTCTTAAAATGTTAAATATAATATATATTTTATCAAAATATTTATTTATATTTAAATATATTTATTAAGGATTTTAATATAGTTTTTATGGTCTATCATCAAATAAGATTTTTATAAGTATTTTTACTGATATATATATATATATATATAATATATTCTATACATATATTTTTTTATTAATTTATAAATCTGCATCATTCCACGGAGAAGATGGACTTAATTTAAAATTAGTTACTTTTGTTAAAACACCCAAATTCCAAATTCCTTCAAGAATATTTCCATTAACAAATGTCAATGTTCCTTTTCCTTCTCTTCTGTTATATGCAAAATAACCAGAATAAACAGATCCATCTTCTTTGCAGGAAAATGTTCCATATCCGTGCCTCTGATCATCAATCCATTCTCCTTCATATTTATTTCCATTTGCATAAAGAAGAATACCAAATCCATTAGCTTGATCATTTTTCCATTCTCCTTTAAATCTATCACCAGATGCATAAATTAATTCCCCTTCTCCGCATTTTTTAGCATACTTCCATCCTCCTATATATTTATCTCCTTTGCTATATGTTAATGTTCCTTTTCCATGAACTTTATCATTTTTCCAATATCCTTCATACTTCTCCCCATTTACGTATGTTAATACACCATACCCATTTTTCATGTCATTAGACCATTCTCCTTCATATACATTTCCGTTTAAATATTTGTATATCCCTTTTCCTTCCATTTTACCATCTATCCAATCTCCTTCATATATTCCTCCATCGGCAAAAGTATAAATTCCTTTTCCTTGCATTTTTCCTTCAACCCAATCTCCTTCATATGTCTCTGCTATTTTGTTTTCATTTCCCTTATATTTTACACATCCTTTTCCATGCCTTTTATCATTCTTCCATTCTCCTATATATACATCACCATCTTCATACGTATATGTCCCTCTACCATGCATTTTACCATCTAGCCATTCTCCTTCATATATATCACCATTGTTGTAACTTAAAATTCCAAAACCATTAATTTTTCCATTTTCCCATTCTCCTTCATATACATTACCACTTATAAATTTTGCTATTCCCTTTCCATGAATTTTGTCATCTATCCACTCTCCTTCATATGTTGCACCATCAGCATAAGTGAATTTTCCTTTCCCTTCTCTTTTTCCATACACAAAGTCCCCTTCATATTTTTCATTTTTTGAATAAATTAAAACACCATATCCATGAAATAATCCATCTTTAATGTTTCCATGATAAGCGTGTGTATCTTCAGACATTTTAACAAAAAAAAAAAATTATATATATATATATACATATATATACTTAAATAAAAAAACAAATTAAAATAAACATATATTCATACTTATATTAGTATGCACAAAAAAAAAAAAAAAAAAAAAAAAAAATTAATATGTTAATTATTTAATGTATAAATATATATATATATATATATATATTTTTCTTGACATAAACAGCATTTATTGCATATGTAAATTACAAAAGAAAAAATTAAAAATACATAAAATAAATAATTTATTATAAATATCGTTTATATGAACTAACTTTTAATATATATATTATATAATTTATATTATAATTTAAAATAAAAATTAAATATTTATTAATAAAAAAAAAATATAAATAACAAATTTTTACTACTAATAATGTTATATATTCTTATAACATTCTATACATTTAATCATAAAATAAGTTGTCTTATTAGAAACATATCAATTTTCTTTTTTATTTTATTAAACGTGGTAATTAAAAAATTCCTTTTTGAAACTTTTTAATTATTACTAGCGATTTTGAATAATTCTAAATAAAAAGTAAAAAAAAAAAAAAAATTGCATACATTAAAATTTAATATTTAAAATAGTTATATAAAATACAACAATTTACCATTTTTTTTTTTTTTTTTTTTT